TTCCCAGCTCGTGTCCTTTGCAGCACCATTTCCACAGCTTACATACTCCCACTCGTTAATAACTTTTCATGTTGTGAAGGAACAGCATCCACGCTTGTTTCTGTAAATAACTTCTGAGAAAATGTTTGCGCAGTATGCAAAACTTTTCGATTGTGGCAATCGTTCCTTGGGCGCAGCACACGTGCATTCTGAAGTTCCGATTGCGGAATTGATTTAAGAACTTCATAAATAGGTCGAAATAAAAGGAGAGTAATGAAAAACCCCGATTTCCTTTTAAAAACTATTGACAGCTTGAGTACGGCGCCCAGCAAGCGTAATGCAATAAATCCATTGGATGCAATTCAAAAGGACTGTCCTCGCAATCCTTTCATTCAAGAGGGATTTAATAATTACAATATTCACAATGAGAATCCCTGCTTTTTTGCCTCGTCGAAAGGCATTTCCATGCTGTCTGTCCTTTGCGAGAGTCCCGTCTCTTGCTGGCTCATTTAAGAAATATTTAATTTCGAGAAAATGAATTATACATGCAATTTGCAGGCAGCTCTATTTCTTGTTTTGCCGCCGCCTTACTTATGATGCGTCTTTGTCCTCCGATGGCCCAGCCGGAGAATTAATTACGCCGCTGAAAGTTGATTCCCGCCATAGATGTGGATGCGGCGGCCCGGATGCGGAAGTCCTCGTGCCAATGCGACCACAACTGACCCAGTTGTTTAATTGAATTGAAGCCATAAACACTTGGAGTAGAACGACCGCAGCCACACAAAACGGGAGTGAGCGCGTCGGGAATGAAAAATGGCCACGGGCAGGGGCACTCGCTAAATAACTTTAATTAGTAGTGCGAATGCGGCCATCAATCACCTTTGCCTGTTATGCGAGCGAGAGAGAGAGCGAGAGGGCCAGCGGAAACGGAAATGGCAAGCGGAAACGCCAGCGGAAGCCACGTGGCCATTGCTAAGCATTTTGACAGCTGTGCCTGTCGCTTATGCAACAAAGCACACACACACTCGTGCACTGTGGCAAAAATTAAGGTTTCTGAGTAGATGTTAAATAAAACATTATTACAAAAACCATTTTAAAATAACTTTAAGAATAAAGAAAAAATAAAAGTATTGTTCAACGATTAGTTTATTGATTAAGATGAAAGTGCAAGTAAAAGATTTCTAAAAAAAGGATTTAAGCCATATTAAAACCCATTTTTATAGCTTAAGGTTTAATATATAATTTAAAAATATAAATAGTTTCAGCTTAAATCTTTGTACTTGGGCATATTTTAATATATAGGAATCCTTTTTAAATTTGTATATTATTCTGATTTAAAAAAAATCATAAAATTTATTTTAAAAAGTCAAATTACAAAATACTAGAACTATTATTACCATGAAGAAAACGTTTTAGTGCACATTTGACCTTAAAATTGTATTTTAGTTTTAAAAGCACTCTTCCTAATTTGCCAACAAACAATATGGCAGAGAACCGCAAATTGCATAATTTTTTCCCTGTGCATCCACTGCGATGTGTACCAAAAATTAAAGAAATTCGAGAAAGTAAGGAATTAATCAAATTGCAAATTTCATCAGCGTGGCGGCGAAAAAAAAGCGACTGCAGATGTGGCAAGCGGAGGAGATGGCGTTCAGCGTTTCAGCGAGTGCCAGGCAAAGTTGTTGACATCTTCTGAGCCAACACGTACCGCCGGCACCAACAAAAACACACACACAAAAAGTAGTAAACACTTGACGGGAGCAGCAGAAACAACACGAACAAAGAGCCACTAGTGCCAAAGAGATGGCAGGACCAGGACCGGAGCTACAGCTACAGCAAATGTTTGCTTAAAAATGATGCGAGCCCCACGAGAAGAAGAATTTCGGGATGGAATGGCTTTTGGATGGGGGAGCGGATGCTTCTTCTGCTCCTGACAGATGCAAGACGCGTTGACAGTGACAAAGACAATGATGACGACGATGGTTATGTTGGGGCTCATCATCATGGTGATGTGGGGATGGGGATTGGGATGTGGCAATGTGGCGCTGGCGGTGGAGGCCAGCATTTGGCATAATCCTGATGACAAAATGTCATTACACCATCTACATAGTGAAGTTGCCTTTTGAAGTTTTCCGAGCAGGAGGTTGGCATCATTGCAAGCTTAAATAAATAAATAAGACGCTACCCGCTGACAGCTAAAGTTTGTACGGCTTGCCTCTGCCGAAAGTCGGGGTATTTCCATATTAAGTGAAAATAAGTTTTCAAGAAATATATGCACAATTACAGTCATATTTAAATAGTCCTTGATGGTCCTGGCGTAACTCCAAATTTGTGTGAATCCTTATCTTGGGTTTGGTATCATTTTTTTTTGTAATGTACATTTTAACTAAAGCTAACTTTCCTCTACTGAAAATAACTTATTTTCAATGGTCCATAGAAATTTACAGATTCCACTTGTCATTTACATTGTTCTCTAAATATTTGTTAAAATAAATATTTAAATAAAAAAATATACATTTTACTCTTTTTTACTTCTGAGGATTAAAATATTATTTAAATTTAAATAAATTTATTCCCATAATGATGTTGATGTTAATTGCATTAAAAAAGATAAACAAAACTACTGCTAATTGTTAAACAAATATTTAGTAATAATTTGATAATAATAATTAATAAATTTACTTCAGCCTGTTTAAAAGAGTGTAGAATTTAAACTACTCAGAAAAGCGCGATTATTAAATAAGAATTTAGTTGTCCAATAAATCTTTTAATATTTCTTAAATATTTAAGATATTTAAATAGAGGGTAAATGCAATTGGAAACGTTCGACTGCAAACGGATACAGTGTACTACATATATAGGTATAATTCCGCTCCTGTTGACTTACCACAACTTTTGGGAGTAGTCCTTGTTCCGGAGTCTGTTTCGGCTACAGTTATTCCACTTTCCCCAAGAATCGGCAGTCACGCGAGTGGCCCAGTCATTGACAAATGGCCAGGGAGCTGCTCGGCAGCTATTGTTTTATTTTTATTTTTATTTTATTTTATTTTACTTCTCTACGTTTCCAGAGCACTTTTCCTCGGCGTTTTTCCCCCGCTTCGCCGCGAATTGGCCTAGTTTCGTTTGGTCTAGTATTTGGTGTTGTTTTTCGGCTGGGTTTTCCGTGTGTTCCGTAGGCCTAAAGCCTCCACTCCGGCTGCAGTTTTGAGTTACTTGGCACTTGTCTAATGCCTTTGTCTGCTTTTCTTCTGCTTTCCTATGCTTTTTTCATGCTTTTCTGCCAGACGGGCGACGCAGTGTCTTTGCTTGCACTTGAGGAAGCGTTATCTGGGTGGTGAGTGTTGGTGTGGGTTTTGTGCGGTTGAATTAGCGAGTGAGACACGAACTTTTGACCCCGTTTCGACAATAACAACACAAGAAGAGCAGAGGCTTTTGAACCACTGGCCGGCTTTTTGGCTTTTCAACACTCTGAATGCGTTTACATTTATGTCCGTTACTGTTTTCTGGGTCCTATGGATTGCTTGAATTAATGGCGTTTTTTTTGTTTTGGGTGCCTTCCCTGTTATTGATTTAGCAGGGCTTTATTGCCAGAGTAATAATAAAATTCAGCCATTTCCCATTTGATTTGATTTACCAATCAGCCGTTACTTTCACTAAAAATATTCTCTTTCCTTTACAGAACTTTAAACACTTTTCACTATTTTCGATTTAACATATCATGTTTGTAAATGTCTTTTGCATTATTACGAATTGTTTGAATTTGGGGCTTTTCCGTCTTGTTTATTGATTTAGCAGGGCGATATTGCCACAATAATAATAAAAAATTGTAGTCATTTCCCGGTTGTGTTTTTTATAGCCAATCAGCTGTTACACTTTATGTACTTTCTTCTCTCTTTCAGCCAAAAAAGAGCGAAACTACCGTTAAGGTTTTTAGCACTTTTCACAATTATAGCTCAAGTTTTGATTGGGGTTTTGCGCACGTTTTACGTAGCTAGCCGAAAACTGGTGGAACATCCGTGAACAGGACGTTTTTGCTCAGCCAGCGCCTCACGAACTGAACTCAAAAACTGCGAAAATACGCGAAAAGCCAGCATCTCGGCTCAGCTGTGATTACGGTACTTTCTCTCTGGGGCTCTCTCTCTCTTTGGCGCCATCCGGAAAAGTACCGTTCTCCACGTGGCGGGCGAACAGCTGTTGCCGCAGATGTTCCACTGAGCATGCGCAAAAGGAGTCACTTGGGAAAACTGGGAAATTACAAAGCTCCGCTACTGGAAAATCCGTTAAGTGAGAACAGTTTTCGTTAGCCATAAAGGATTTTCCACCAACACGTCACCTACAAAATGCTACCCAAAAGTTGGCGCGAAAGTCAACACTTCGCACATAAAGACATCTTTCCGCTTGGCCAACTTTTCGGGCCAACAAACTTTTCACATTTCACAAAAAGCCCACATTTTTTAACCCACATTTGGCATCAATTTACCCATTACATAGGGCTAAGGGACCTCTATAGCTTGGAAAAGATGGGGAAACTTTTCAAAACATTCGAGGAATTTTAAATTATTTACAGAAGTCGAATAAATAAGAGTTTTGGAGTAATAATCCTTTAAACATAATCAAAATAAATACCACACTTATTAAGAAAATATTTATAATGCTTTTATGTAAACTCCCACATTTTAGAAAAACAATTTATGGTTCTTTGTATTTATGAAAAGGTTTCTGAAAAACATAATTTAACGAAAGAGTTTATTAGGAAATCTTCCAGCTGAATATTTAAAAATTTAAGTTTAAAATTGTTTACCAAATGCTTTTAAATAAAAATAAAGATAAAATTAACAAACGAAGAGGTAGATGAAGAGACACTGGAATATTCTTAACATTTGGTATAATAAAATTATTTAAAAAAATCATTATTTTTAAAAATAAATAAGAATTTAGGAGACAAAAATGTCGAGTTCAATCTTCAAAAAGCATTAAGTGCAAGACCTTTGGAGTCCCAAAACCTCTGTCAAAACAACCCGTTCTTTGTCATTACTTCTGTTTTAATTGTAGTTACGTTTTATATGTTAATTAATTACAAAACCCTAATGCACAAAAATGCAAAAAACGTCGAAACCCGCATGCGCCAGTAGCTTGTAAGTGTTTTAGCAACAGTGGCCGTCGTGACCGCTGTGGTTGTGCGAATGACCATGTCCGCTCGATCTGTGGGCCACCTTGTTGTTGTCCTCCTCCTCGCCCGCCTGCTTCGCGGCCTTGGCCTGATCCTCGTCGGCGAACTCGCTGAGGTCGCGCCGCATGGCATAGGCATCCTCGCCATCGGCATAGTACTTGGGCTCCACCTCGATTATCTTGAACTTGAGGGCATTGGTGTAGAGGTTCAGAGCGGCCCGATTGCTCTTCCTCACGTGCAGCGAAACGTACTGGGCGTTGAAGCACTCGACCATGGCCTGCGAGGCCTGGTTCATGAGCTTCTGGGCGAGACCCAGCCGGCGATAGGAACGCTTGACGGCCAGCGAGGTGATGTGCCCATGGCGACTCTCCTCATTGGGCTCCGGCTCCTCCATTTTGGCCAGGACATAGCCCACAATGCCGCCCTTGTCGTCCTCGGCCACGTAACTGAGCTGCGGCCAGGTGAGTCCATGGTAGAAGTAGTACTTCATCTGGTAGTTCTCGGGCAGGCACAGCAAATTGCAGTGCTGCATGGTCATTAGGTCCTCCGGTTTGGCGCAACGGATGTTCATGGTGGTGCTGTTCTGCTTTACTCTATTCCTAATCTCTGCGAGCTTTCCTGGCTCTTCCCGGCTGATGTGGCTGCAGATTCTGGTGATCCCAAGCGAGTGGCTGCTGCTCCTCCGGCTCCTCTTGACCCAACAACTCTCGAACCAGACGGAATTTCGATAGGAACGCCTTCCAGATGAGGAACCAGCCTGCAAAGAGGAGTCAGATTTCTGGATGAGCTGTCGTTCGGGGCAGTGAAATTCGACTCCAAGGTGGCATGATCGTCAGTGGGCGCCTGCTTACCCAACAAAATAATCGCTGCGACGATACTAACAGAGGCTAATATGGTGAAAATGAAAACCAAGCCCGTTTGCAGGGACATTCTAACGGGGGTAACTCGAAATCAGGCGACTGTAAACATTAAACTATAAGTGGAATTGGAAATAATAATTTAAAACTACTTGGAAATTGTGGGTTTTTGATTTCACAGCAGCGAATTAAATGTTTCTTTCCCGTTTTTATGAATTGCTGACTATCACAATAAAAAACAGCTGTCAATTAAGTGTGCCCGTTTGGCAATACTGCCGAATACCAGGGGCGCATTTGCACTACCAAATTGGGAAATATACGCAAAATATAACAAAATATAAAGAAAAGAAATAAAACTATTAGTTCGAACTATTAACTTTTAAAATACAAATAAATTGCTCTATGGGTTCCACTTTTGTTTGAAGTTTCTAGCACTTGCTACATTCATAGCCACCAAAGACCACATGGGGTTAGACAATTCACTAAGCCATCTATTGAAACTGCCCTCGATGTCTGGCTTTTAAATTGGTCACTTCCTGCGTCATGCAAAGCACTACTTATTGTCCCGCATTTGGGTTAGTTTTATTTAATATCCACCTGCCTGTTTAATTTATTTTTATTTGCGAAAGAGCACACTTCTTGCACACTTTTTACACCGGCTCAGTATGACCAGAGTTAAGGAGGGGGGAAAATACCAAGTCAGGTATTCTTCGACACTGAAAAAAATCGAATAGGAAATATAAATTATTAAGTGAAAATTTCCTTGTCTGAAATTAAAAAAATATATATATGTATGAAAAGGAAATAAAATCAAAAGTAATTGGTATTAACCGTTCAATTTTAATTTCAAATTCCCTCCAAAACCAGCACCAGGAACTAGTTCTATTAAGAAACCGTATTTTTAAAATAGTAAATACCGAAATTCAGAAATACCAAAAAGTGTGTATGTATGCCGGAACAGCTGTTTTAGATTTACCTGGCCAAACACAAATCAATTAAACAAATGCAATTTCTGCATTAAATCACAGTAAAATGCAGGAATTTTCGGCCAAACGCGATGCTCTGTTCGCCTGCCTCGACGATGCGAGCAAAGAGCTGAAAGGAACCGCCTTGGATCAGAGCAAGGCCAAGTCGCTTTCCATCAACGCTCTCGACCGGGGCAACAGATCCGGAAATTCATCCGGATCCGGACAGGTGATGAACTACCGCCATGGTCGCAGCATTGAGGTTGGCCTCGATGCGGAGGACGGGAGATTGCGGCGGATGCGGGGCAAGGAGAGCATCTTTAAGAAGCCGGAACTGCCCATTGGCCGCTGCCTGAAGCCCAGGAAAACTCCGGATTACCAGGTAATCTTTGCTTCCCTTACAATAGCAATCCTCCTTATTAAATCCCTGGTTTCCCTCGCCCAGGTAAACCCGCACAAATGGAAGAAGTACTCCCTGTCCGATGTGGACATCTCCGATCAGAGCAATTCCGCCGCCGCCCTCTCCTTTCTCCGGCAAATGGATGCCCAGCGCGAAGCCGAGGGAGATGATCATGAATCACCACACTCAGATGGCAAAATAGAGTTCAAGAAGACCAGCAAACTCAATCGCAATCTCAAGAAGCTGCAAGAGGAGGAAGTGGAGGATGTGGAGCTGGACAAACCGCAGTTGAGGGGCTCCAAACTGGTGATGCCCGAGTATGTCATAGGTCAAAAGTCGCAGAAACAAAGGAAATCCAAAGTAAAGTCGAACCAGAGCCGTGCCTCTGGGAAACTTCAACTCTCTCACTTGGCGGAGGAGGATGAACAGGATGAATAGGTTATAATAAATGATCTTAAGCTTATAAACATAACAACTAGTGTTCCCATAAAGTTTTAAGAATGTAAATAGACTTTTATTGTATAAAACTGGGTGTTTCCCCTTTTATAAAACCTGGCGGTTTGTCAGAAATGCCATCGTTTATTTTGTACATGTAAAATCAGAATGGAAAACTTTTAGCTTAATGGTTCGATTTCTAAAATCTGGTGTGTACTGGAATTACTAAATTTTACATAAATCTCTTTTGTTCTATTAATTGCTGATATTTATCACATAGAAAGACAATTCTCATACCTCCAAATGAGGTATGCAATATACGTATTCGAAGAACAAGTAAAGTAAAGAGTATTGGTTAAAAAATACAATTAGGAGGCACGCGGGCACAAAACACATAATCTAAAGAATATAAATGCGACGACAAAAACATAAATAAGGATAAAAATGCAAATATTCAGTCGGGAATGCTTTCATTATGGGCAGTGGCTGCGTCTACTCGCTGTAGAAGCCCGGATTGAAGTAGAGTTTCTTGTTGAAGCCGAGATTGTCGAAGGCACCGGTCTGCATCGACCCCTTTTTGGTGCGCATATTGCCCACGGAGGCGTGCGTTTTCTTCAAAATATCCTCGACATTCGTATTGTGGGCATGCTCGGCCATCACGTCGCAGAACTTCTGGATGTACCAGCTGCCCGTCTCAGGATCCCGGTGGGTAACATAGCCCGGCGTATTGGCATAGCAGACCAAAGTGTCCGCCAGAGTTGGCACATTTGTGTACGCCGACGACATGCCCTCCGTCTCGATCTCGGGCGCCTCTTCCTGCTGCAGCGTAAACACCGGCTCCATGGGATCATAGTGACCCTTTGGCTGTCCCAGATCATGATGATCACCGCGGCAAAAGGGAAAGATGAGCACCTTGGGCTTGTGCACCAACAAAGGACTGATGTTCGCCTGGAAATGATTCTTGATCTTCTGCATATCGACCACTGAGCCATCGCAGAACTCCACTTTGTCTATCTCCTGCACGCGATTGCCGTGCGTCATCAGCACCATCACAAAGCACTCGGTGTTCTGGACATACGACGAGGAGGTCACCTGCCGCAAAATATCGAAGAACTGATGCTGATTCATGTTGCCGTAGGCGAAAATCGTGAAGCCCAGTTCGCGGAACAAGTGGATCAGCGAGTTGCTGTCCACCTGGGCTCCATTTCGTTTGCGTTTGGGATCCGGAAAGTCCATGATGTTCACCATAAGCAGCACGCCGCGGTTCAAACGGGAGCGCATCTTGTAGGTGCCCACCACGTCATCCGTGTAAATCTTGTCCGACTTCCTAATGTTGCGCAGGGGTCCGACAACGGGCTCTAGATAGGGGGTGAGTGGTCCCAGCGGTTCATTCAGGGGCTTCTGTGTGACAGGAAAAGCAATAAAGATAAGGTTTTGAAGTGGGGGTAAGATTAGTATTGCAGTTTTCCAGCCAAACTGCACTGAATCATAATCATAACTTGCAGCCATAAACTTATGGTGAAATTCTAAAGAACTAAAGATCGGATCTGCTTATATTTCTCTGAATAAATTTCATTAAAAAAACCTCAAGGTTAAAAAGCCTATCTTACTGTGAAAATATTTGGGATAGGTTATGGTAACTGAATAAGCAAATTGTATAGCTAGTATCTTTAAGTACTTCATATCCCATTGTTTAACATTTTAATGACAGCTTTTAAAGTCTGATATTAACAGAAAGTAACAGATATTTACAGAAAATAAAATAAATGCATTATGGATTTCATTTAGGCCAAATTGGACTGAATCATAACAGCAGTCATATTGTTTGTTTATCAACAAAGACTTTATCTTTGGGAGCTATGACATAAGCCCAATAAAATATTCCTCAAAAGTGCTAAATAAATTGTCTGCCGCTTGAGCCTGAATTTGTTTACCCTAAGAGCCCATATATGGTGCTAGTATTTGGGTGAGGTAAGCTGGATAAATTGACACGCCATTGCCTGGAAGGCATAAAAAACACAAGATGATTCACTGGGGTATTGAACTACGCTTCGAAAGTCCTTGAAAATCATCAGATCAATGTTCTTATAAAGTCTCACTGGGATTTTAAATTAGGTCAGATATATGTATGAATTTTGAACGTAAATATTGTAAATTCCTGTAAACTCAGCGGATTAATGTTCTTATACTAATGGTCTCACTGGGATTTTAAATAAGGTCAGATATATGTACATAGTTTCGGAGTTAATGTAAAAAATTATATTTAAATTTGAATATTTTATCAATCACACAATAATTAATGTAAACATTGTAAATTTCTGTAAACTCAACGGATCAACGTTCCTATACTTAAGAGTCCCACTTGGATATTAAATTAGGTCAGGTATACATATTTTTTTAGTAAATAGTAGAGTACAATAGAGTAGTAAGCACTATAATAAACGCAAATAATGTCAATTTCTGTTACTGTTATTAATAAATTACCAATAATCAAAATCTAAGTGTGAAGTGTAAACAAAAAACCAGTTTTTTTAACATGGGTCACTGACCTACAAAGCTATAATTTCACCATAAATGGGTGGAACCCACCTGTTGAATGAGAATCTCGAAAATAAACTGAATATCTTACCTTGCTGGCACAGGCTCCCTCGTAGGCCTCCGGTGTCCTAGTATCCACAATATCCGCCGACTTCCGGCTGGTGTTCCGTTCGTTCAGCGAGATGAACGGCCTTGAACCGGACTCATCGACGGACTCCAGTAGCTTGGCGGCATCCAGGCAGTTGACCTTTCGCAGGGCGGTGATCAGCAGGTTGTAGGCGGTGGGACCCCGTTGGGTGATCTTCAGAAAGAGCCGACGATGCTGCTCCAGTCGCACATCCTCGTCGTCCATGTTGAAGCGCTCCCCGTTGAGATCCTCCGTATTCCTGAGCATCTGGACGGAGAGGATGCCCTGGTGGACGCATTCCGCGGCTACGAGACCATAGTTCGTCTGCTTGACCAGCGTGTCCAGATTCTGGCGGATGTGCTCGCGATGCTTCTTCAGCATTCCAATCTCGCGTTCCGGCGGCTGCATTCCGGATGTGGTTTTTATCTCGTTCCGGGGACTCCGCTTATTTGGAATTCCAAGGATATGCGTGTGTGGCAGTAATCAGTCTCCAATTGGCAGTGATATTGGCAGTGAGTCACCTCAAGGTTTTTCCGCAACTGACTACGTTTGGCGCTCGTTTCGTTTCTTTGTCTCCGCTCCGTTGTTCTTGTTTTTTGTCTTGGCGGGGCAACAATCGACGGCCCTGGCGGTGTCCTTATTTTTCCAAAAGCAAATTACCTAGTCTACGTATTGCACTAGACGATCCTGTCCAGGATCAGGGTTCTTCGAATAAGATTTCTCTTGGAACAAAAGGATTCTCGGGCTCTTTCTCGCAGCCACTCAGCGCGCTCGTTATCTCTCGACTCTAAATTCTAATTGTGGGATTGGTGAGACCACTGCGAGGTGGCTGAAGAAATCCCCAAATCGCGTATGGGGAAAAATACCGCAGATATATCTTAAATATATTTTATATTTCTGTATTAAGAAAATTAAAAAAATAGAAATTTAGTTTTAAATTTATGTTTTGAAATAATAAATTTTAAGCAGAAAAGTATAAATATTTCGGTTTATAGTATTATTTAAATAATATTTTTAACGAAAATATTGTTCACAAAATGTTCAACAGACTAAAATTAATTTAAACAATTAAATTAAAAATATTTAATTTTGAAAACTAATTTTAAAAACCAAATAAAAAATACCGCAAATAAAAATACCAAAAAAAAACACCAACTGCTTGATGGTCACCCTAATATTTCTCGTCCAAAACAATACCCGCAATTCGCAAAACGTAAACAAAGGAAAACCATGGAGGAAAACCAACCAAAGCCGGGAACGGAAAATCCCGAGCCGAAAAGCGCTATTAAGGCATCCAACTTTCCCAGGGAAGTCAAAATGAAGGCACAAAGACAACTGAACAAGATGGGCTACTCACAACAAGTCCTGCTAGAAGCATCCAAATACCATGATCAAAACTATACGGGCGCCCTTTTCCGTATGTCCGATGTCTATAACTCAATAAATATATAACCCTAATCCTTTGCAGAATATATTTCCACCACGATGGCCAGGGGCGAGGAAATGGTGAAAAATTGCGACTCCGTCAGTCTGAACAACATGACCCAGTGGCTGGAACTGATGAAAAGTGCCCAACTCTCGGATCTTTGCGAATTCGAGGCAGCAGCCGCTGTGAATTCCATTATCCAAAATGAGAAAAAACCATCTCCACGTGAACTAAATGGCATCGACTTGAAGTAAGTACAAGTGGAAAATAACCACCTATATCCGTAATATCTTAAAGATACTTACTCTAAAACTTCTGTTGTCTGATCTAACCAAAAGATCTTAGAAAATTGGATATCATATTACGCTTGTAGTTTTATCGACAATGTGTTCTCTACTTCTATTACAAAATCCTTTGTAAGTTCTACTGAACTCTGTAATTTTTACCATCTTAAAAATATTTGATTTGCACAACTTACGGAATAAGTTTCAATGAGTCATTGCTTTTTAGAATTACTTCAAGATTACATTCCCAAAAGTAACAACATTTTAAAGAGTATGACCCATTACCATCATCTCTTTCAGCGAAGCCTACAAGTTCCTTGAAAATGCGCTGATGGGTCAGCCCCAAAAGAAGTTGAGCGATGCCACCAAGTCATTTTTGTCCAAAGAAATTGAGGTGAGCTGGAAGTACCCATCTAAAATAAGATTCCTAATAAAAGCCCTTCCCCGAGCAGCTCCTTATAGAAGAGGCAAATACCGAAGAATCCGATGATATTGCCCGCAGCATGGGACAGCGCCTATATGACCACCAAATCCTAGACTACACAGAGCAGCCCCACAAATGCAGCTTGGACCCACTCTTCCTGGACGAAGATCTGACGTAGTCGATAGACAGTAATTATAACTAAGCCATTTATTCATTTCCACACATTTATTAAACATTTAAATTCAATTTGTTTTTATATACGTACATTGTCACATGCATTTGCACTTTTCCATCTTCCATCAACCATCGATCCCACGTTTATACATTAGTATTACTATGCCGAATGCCCCAACCTTTGTACGTATTAATATTCGATAATTACACTCATAATTAAGTACTTGACTATAAACAGTTTTAGCACATTTAAAATCTAGAATTCCTTTAGTTGTACACAATTACTTCAAGTAGTGTAAGTACGAGTATAAGAAAAAGTATAGGGTCTTTGGCCTTGGATTCTCTCAATTGCATAACATTTATTGTGCATGATTGTTTTCAAGTTCGGGTTGCCAATTTGCATTGGATTGCATAGACTAGAGTAGAGATAGGTAGTTTAGTTTTGGTTTTGCTTTGATTAGCTTTGTTTTAAACTTTAAGAGGCATAAAAACAGTTGAGTGCTGCTTGACTCCCGTAGCATCACAATAGAATCACAAGAGACAGAGTTGGCTTCCTTTTAATTTCGTTACAGGTTCTAGGATGTCACACTTACGATAACATAACGTACATACGATCAGAGTTACATACAAATTCGAATACAAATATAATACCCTTTAATATTAACCGTAGTTACTCTCATTAAAACGATCTTCACACAATCAAATGCAATTCAATAATGTACATAATATAATTCTTAAATGTTCAGTCCAGTTTGAGCTTTTGGTTTTCCCCTTTTTTTTTTGGTATGTTTAGTTGTGTGTCTTCACGTAAACATTAATTAAAATTAAGTAAATCTAATTATGTATACGTACGATTAAACGCTAGTAAACCATATCGATATGCCTTGTCTAAGATCGCAAAATGTAACCAAAATAAACGAAAAATTCAAAAATTCCAAAAATCAGACTGAACAAAATGCAAAGCAGTTTCAGGTGCATGGCAAGGATATGCTGGAGTTTCAGGATCATTAGCTGGCATCAACCAAACGCAGATCCAACGGATCGAACAAACACAACGACAACAACGTAACAGAAAATCAGAAAATCGTAATTGGTAGTTAGAAATTCGTAATTGGTATAGAATTAGTGTCGGTAGAATTTTGATTGTCCCGTTCCCGTTCGTGTTATTCAGAGCATAGATCATTCGTGTGTATATAAAGTAGGTTTTAGCGTGTCCTTGGTAGAGTTTGTCTTGCTTCTTGCTTGTATACATATATAAATTCATATTTGGTTTTAGTTTTTCACTTCTATTCCGCTAAACATACCACAACAATGATAATCGCTTTAATTGCAGTTTACGTAATGAATACATTAATGACGTCTTCACTATATAAAGTTTCAAGAGTTTACCATATACCACACTTATACGCATATAGCTGCCCAACTATACAAATTGACTATAAATTTGAGATTGAGATTGCCTTCAGGAACATCGGCTCCATTAATTGTTCTGGGTTTTATTCGGATCGGTAGATATATTTGCTTGGTGGACCTTGGGGTTGTTTTCGTGTATTCACCTTAGTAGTAGTTTTGGGTGTGGTTCGCGTTATTCCGGCTGAACAGAGTGTATATTTTATGGATTGAATGATGGGGATTTATATGTGATTCATCACTGTAAAGCGCAGGCGGGAACCCTCGAGGTTCTTGGCTAAAAATAAACTTCTCTTTATACTCGTGGTTATCAATATTCATTATTTTTTGATTGCGTTTGCTGTAAAGCTCTGTGATAAGTTTGAGTTTTATGGTGCTAGGTACGATGTATGTAGGTACACGATTTCCTCTTATTTCATTTCGTATTTATATTCGAGTTAGCGATATGATGGATGTTGGCAAAATAAATAAGTAATTGATATCTCTTTTCTTATCCCTTATGATACGATTTGGTTATAAATGGTTTAAATTATAAGAATATTGGCATGATATATGCGGGTTCTATGACACACAGAGGAATATTTGACATGTATTTTGGCCTAGCGTAAACATTCATAATAAATATGTTCAAGAATAGTTAGGGTTTCTATGAATTGATTGCATTCTGCTTAGTGTTTTTATGTTCTCTCTGTATCGTGTTTTTTTGTGATTGCTGGATTGTGTTTGACACTTTTGTTTTGGATAAATTACAATTAGTTTGTGATTAATATGTTGCTTTGGTCACATCGATTTGGATTGGCTAACAACATTTAGAGATTCGACTGAAAATTCTTAGTTAAGCTTGCGCGTGGTATACGTTTACAATTTTATATTTATATACCGCTAATATAATTTGATTACTGGTGTTTCATAAATGGACCGAAATTGCATTGAAAAGTAATTGGATTCTTTTGAATGTATATTTATCTGTGTGCGTTTCTGTATCTTTAGTTACGTCCGGAGAATAGTTGATACTGTAATAGAGTTGTTGCAAGATAATTAGGCCATCAATCTGGTTGTTCGGTTTCAAACGATTTTCAAAATACATATGTATATAGGCTATTGGTTGTATTGTTACATAAGTAGGTATTACTTAGCTACTGGGAACTGCTGAAGCTACTTGGTTTCGAAGTATCTCGCACTCCGTTACGGATATTACGTATATTACGGGAATTACGAATACGGGAAAACATCAAATATTTTGGAGCCAAGAAGAGAGAAAGGGGCACACACAATATATTGATATTATAAAGATTATATGTATATTAGCAAAAAAAGGGTGGGACAAACATCGGGTTCGGTTGTCATGCATCGATTCGATTCTCGGGGTTCTTTCCTATTTCACTTTATTGCGGGTGGAGTGACTGGATTATCTGGGATCTGTTGTATTTGGGTTCAACTGGTTACGCAATGCAAACTACGAACATCTATCTAGGTTCAACTTACGGCTAGGTGTACGTGTCTATGTTGGATTTCCACCGGATGTGGATGTGGGTGACTACAAAACTACTACTAAGGTACAATTGTGGATGAGTGTGGGTATTATCGGAAGGTTTCGGTTTCGGTTTCGGTTTCTCACCTCCGGTCGACTTACATACGTTCAAGCAGAGCTCTGCTTGTCTAGGTATCGGTAGCTACTCTTTTTCGATCTCATCAAGTTGGTAAATACTTTGGTAAGATTTTTTTTAAAGATTTGTCGCACAATCTACGCACTACGCACTTGGAATGCGAGAACCTTTGAACTCTTAAGGCACATTTTGAAGTATAATCATAATCATAAGTACGGCGAAAGCAAATTATAATTTCAAATGCATAAGCGGGCGGGGGGTTTTTTGGGTTGAAAGTCAAAGCAACACTGATTGTGCAAAAGCCAAGTATACATTTAACAATTACAATAAATTCGCAATGACTTAGTCGTACATAGTAGAGTAAAATACAATACAAATGCATATAAACATCTGGTAAGTCGGTTAACAGATTCATATAGTTCAGATCGATATATATGTAGGTATGCAAGATAGCAGGTATAGCAGCCTTCTGAAGCCTTCAGTGTC